TGTTTACTCTCAGTATTTCACTTGTCTCACTGTGTCAGCTGGCCCTTTACAGTGCTGGCTTGAAGAACACAAAGGTATGCATGACCCTGACCATAAGAGCCTGATCTCTGAGCATCTCTGTGCCAGTAATAATGTGCATAGAGCTGTTCCAGTCCTGAGGTCGTTGCTTATTGCCATACCTCCATGAAGTCCTAGACTGCAATAAAGACAGTATGCATAAATGGTATTCAAGTTTAGCATATAGAAAGGATGAGTAGTTAGACCAAAAAAAAGTTAATGACAGTTTTTTTTATTACCACATTTGAAGCCTAAATTTGCAATTGAAAACAGCTGTTCTTTGGCTTGCTCACTTTCTACTTCCTGAACCAAAGTAAGCAATGTGTCCTACCAGGATCTCATGCTTTTGAAAAACATATCAATTTTCATGAACTGTGAGACCAAGAATTCTCTGCAGACTCAAGTTTCAGAGAGAGTTTTGCCTGAGAAAGGGCTGCAGGGTTGGTTTGCTATTGCCCAGAAAATCTTCTCCTACTCAGCTACTCAGCATCTTTCGTCTTAGAAGAAAACATAACCATTAGACACAAAAAAAACCACACTAATCTACTTAGAAGCAAAAGCTAGCAAATGGTAGACAACAAATTTAACATTAAAAAAAAACTATTTTGGGTGGTCATGGAATTGCAGCAGATATAAGAACCAATTTTCATCCTACCAGCCATCCGACTATGGTTTGCTGCTGAACTAAACGTTGATGCCACCCCTGGGGCATCCCATCAGAGCTCCAGAGGTGCAGCCACAGAAGGCTGCTGAAGCCCAAACACAGGCTGCAAGCCTTAGTGGGGATGAATACAGCTTTCTTACCTATAGATTAGAATTTCCAGACTTCAGAAAACTCAGATGCATTGAGTTACCTTTTCTTCCTTGAAATTCAATTCACACAGTATGAAAAGGCATCTCTGGAGAATTACAATATACACTGCTCTGTTTTTTTATTTCCAAACACCACATAATGTTTACATTATGGGGAAGGATGCCAAAACATGCAACTGAGTAGAAAAGAGATGGAAATAGCAAACACAAAGAAAATTCAAAATTGCAGAAGTTTATCTTGATATTTACCTATATTCCAATCCTTCAAGAAGACTGAGCACTCTGACACAACTAGAGCAGGTCCTGACAGCCAGAACTATTTGATGTTGCCTTGGCTCTGTGACAAAGCCAGCCCATGCAAGAATGTTGACAATGTTTTCCTAGCAAAGTAAGCACTAATAGCATTAAACCTGACCCATGGTCTGACATGTTTTCCTTCCTCAGCTGCCACTGCTCTACAACATTACCAGCTTTCCCTTGAGTGGCTGCAGTGTGACATTGATGGTTTAAAGCATGGCTAGACTTGTATTTCAGATAATAAGAATTGATTTTCATATCTATTCTCCTACACTTGGTAGGGATACAGGAGGTTGTGAATATACTATAGCAGCACAAAAATGATTGCTTTCAAGGTAGGAAATTTTATTTTCTCTTGGCTCCAATGGTATTCCAAGAGAAAGCAAGCAGGAAGCTTTAGCAATTTTTGGAGTAAGCTCTTCTGCAGGATAATGTAAGCTCTTCTGCAGGTAAATGTGCTTTTAAAACTAAGCACATGCTTGTGTCGCTTTTTTAAAGCACGGAGATAAGCAACTGTGGCTATAGCAGGATATCACTGGGTTACCCCAGTAGCCCATACAGATACCCTGCATAGAAAGAGATGCAGAACATTTCTCTAGTTCTGCCCACTAACATTCATCTTTGCTCTCACAGATAGTAAACAGCTCTTGCAATTTCAAATAAAATTAAAATCAACTAGGTATTATGAGATCAAACATCAGATTCCCAGAAAATACAGCTCATTTGGTTGGCAACTGAATCACAATAGGGGTAAGTAACTTCATAATTTGAGTCTTAATTCTTCTAGTGCTAGCTTTTCTGCTCAGATCATACAATCATAGGATCATCATTAGGACCAGAAAAGATCTCTGAGAAAAAGCTTTTTTCCATCGTTTTGTTGCTTCACAAACCCACTTTGTCCACGGCAATAATCATCAATGCTGCTGCTATTCACATTTCTCTTCTGCTAACTTTGCAATTTTCATATATGATTTCAACCAGAGTGAGCAGGAAAAGATACACCAATCAATGCACCAATACTCTGGGCTGACTATTAGCCTCTGCAGTCACATTTACCACCTGTCTTTCCAGTGTGGTCTGGCCCTTCCAGATTCCTAGGAAGCAAGAAAGCCAAGCAGACTCTTACAGTTTTGGGAGTAGCTGCCATCTGCTTAAAATGACTTGCCCTCAGTAGCCACTCCATCTTCACTTTATGGCAAAATGGCCCTTATCTACATCCATGAAGACAGATTCCTGTCAAATCTGTTGTAGACACTAGGGATGGATGAGAAGTCTTACAAGAAAACAACCCTGAGATCTATATATGGCTCAAACTGCATTTATTATAGTTCCAAATACGTTTTACTCTCTTCTGGTTTCCAGATGGCTCTGGATCCAGAACTCCAGAATACCACAAAAATGCTGCTTTTTTCATGCTGCAATCAAGAGCAGATGCAAAACAAGAATATAGAAAAGTCTGTTTCTTAGAAAATGTCTCTCTCTGTTTTATAAAATAAAAGAAGTTTAGATAATTTGAGTAAACTTTGTGAGTGCATCTAAACATTCAGAATTGCACTGGAACACACATTTGAAGCCCTTGGAAGTACATCTTTCACTGTTTGTTCTAATGAGGGAATTGGAGTACTTCAGTGCGTAAAATTCAGGAGACTGGATTTTAGTTTAGCCCAGCTCTAATTTAATTGTTGGCTTTGACAATATCACTTACATTTTCTGCTGCTCAGTTTCCTTATTGATTCAGGGAGTCGTGCTTCTAAGGAAAATTATGGCAGTGTCAAGGTAGTGGTCTTACTATTGTTATTATTTTATTGACTATAAAAATATGCAGAGAGGAATTAACCATTTTTGAGGATGAATCATTATTCATTAGACCATTGAACTTGATTGAAAACCCAATAGCAGGCTAGCGGTTGGGGTTTAATCAGCAAGGTGGCAAGGTCAGCAAGGACTTGCTGACTCCTATGAAAGATGAAGGTATACAGTTATTTTGGAAGTTGCCCCACATCTTTCAAGACCATGCCCCTAACGAGTTTATTTACTATTCACACTTTCATTGTAGAGCTATTGTCTGTCTCTCCAAATTAGCAGTGCAGATCTCGTATTCCATGAGTTTACACAGTTGCATGTGCACCTTCCTTTCAAAACTCTTGCCCACATCAAGCATACCACTTGGAAACATGTACACACATGCTCATGCACAAACCACATGGTGTGATATAGGAAAATGAAGTACTTACAAAGCTTCTATTTTTTTCTGAGTATGCAGAAAAAATTTTAAAAGCAATAAAACAAGATTTAACCATATAATACCTTCATTGATATTAGTGCCCAATGCCTTGTAAGAGGATAATATATAAATGAATAAATATATGCAAGTGAAGAGGGTGAATATGAGCTCTTGTGTTTTCATGGAAGTTGACTGATACTTGCAGCAATCCTAACTGATAATAAAAATGATTTATCTAAAGGTTTATTATGAACATTGCAGGAAAGGAGATAACAGATATGCACCACTTTGTTTACACTAATATTTCCTGCAAATTAAAAAGAGTTCTTATTCTCTGTTTGATTTTGATTTGGTACTGTATCAAGTATCTGTTTATAAAAGGAAATATGACAGTACAAAGCGTACAAAGTAAGTTGAAAAGAGATTAACAGCCAAGGTGAGTTTGCTTTAAATTAGTCCTAGCAACACAGGCATAGATCCCATTAATTGTAAGGAAAGTTGATCCGAGACAGATCTTTCATAATTGACAGCTGAACTGCCTGAGACTTGGGCACTGAAACTTGCTACTCTCTGAACTAGGATAAGCAATAGCTCTTTAAAAACATACAGGTCACTCGCAGTTTCAAAAAACACAGTGTTAGCCATATGACATTTGAACATCCCCAACCTGGGCTATGCTGCAGTGATCACAACCAGAAGAGCAGGGTGCTCTAAATGCTTCCTTCTGCACAGTTCTCAGGAATTCAGCTACCCGTATTATCTATCAATCAGAACAGGAGACCATCAGCATGATGCAGTAAGTGGAGATCCCAATAGAGCTAACATGGTTTAATTTCACTGAGATGCTAGTGCATACAGTAAGGATCTATGACATATATCAGTGAGAAAAAGCCCAAACTATCTTTTTTTAAAAAAAAAAAATCAGGCAAGAAAATAATGTTTCAGAGAGCTACATGAAAGAAAAGCTGGATATGAAGTAATGTGTTTTAAATGGACTACGTCTTGAAGATTTTTTTCTTGAAATTCATTTTTGCAGTTTTGTCATTTATAATGCTTACTGACCAGCTTATCACTGACTAATTTTTTTAAAATCACATTTATCTGATAAAGGACGTTGCAACCTCATATTGCCCCACCTCACAGAGAAACTTCTGGGAAGAGTCTCAGATGAAGATACTATTTTTCATATTTGAAAAAGAATAGCGAGAACAGACATCACATGCTTCATCAGAAAACTGGAGAACAACCTGCTCTACAGAGCAATTTCCTTTGTTGAATTAGCCTTGGAGCCATGCTAGCATCTCTAGAGACTGAAAAATCAACTGCATGGACATCCATGGCATCCACCAAGGGAAAGAAAAGTCCTGTTTACCATTATGCATACTGCAGAAAATTACAAAGGTTAAAATCCTTAAAATACTGACACCATATAGAAGCCAACCTTCACAAAGATTCATGGGTTTCACTCCAAATAATTCTAGGGTCCACTGTGTGATATTTAGTGCTATGAAAATAACGATGAATTTTTAAAATCATGTAGTTAAAAAAACCAATTTGCAGAGAACTGAGTATACAAATTCAATAGTTTAGATGGTGTGCTGGCACTTACCTGGTGGCACGTGCTCATTCATGATGACCAGCGATGCTGGCGTAGGCCTTCTCTTCCTGATCTGTAACATGCAGAAAACAAGAGCAGCCATCAGGGACCACCAACCACCCCACACTCAGAGCAAAGCAAACACCATGTCCTTCTGAGACTAAATCAGATCAAGTTAAAAAGAGCAATAACAACAACTACAAACATTCAAAATACCTCACTGTCTTTCTCACTGCTCTTCCGGACTGACAGCAATTGGGGTTGTGCTGCTTGTACATGGAAAGCCAAAGCATGGCAGAGAGCCCTCCAAAATACCTTTGTGATTTGCAGTCACCTTGAATAAGTTTTTGGATGTGTATTACTGATGTGTTTCTCAAAATACTGACATTTAACTTCACTGCATGAAAATAACTGCAGTAGCTGGTGAGCTTATATATTCAAATACCTACTTGTGGTGTAACTTTTATAAGTATTTATTAAAATGAGTGTTTCGTAAGCATAAACAAGAGTTGATATTGGACATAAGTCTTCTGATGAATCCAGATTTCTAAATTGTGGCCAGAGGCAGCATTATCATTCTTCAACTGAAGAAAAGACTTTCAAAATAATGTTTCCAAAGAGCACTGTACCACAGATATTTACCTACGAATATATGATCCCGAATAAGGATTGTATGCAATTCTTCTTATTCAAAGTTCATTTGGTTAAATTTTTTTGTTCCATTAACACTGGCTGAACAACATGATGTTGGACTACTCTCCTGTAATGGACATTCTTACATTGAAAGTTGCTACACTAAAACCTTCAGGCTATATTGATATTCTATTGAATTTAGGAGAGTGACCAGGAGTATTTAAGCTAGAAACAAACCTCACACAAATGCACAATGTCAGTATGTTTGTTCTTTTTCGGTTGCTTAGCCAACATCTGTAGGGAGCTGGGTTCAAATTTTGCTTTCAAAGGGGTAAATGGAAAATTACATCACTGGGCTTAATAGGGTTTTTCCAGATTAGAGCAAATGTAGCTGGCAGCAGCTTTGCTAGTTTAATTTCCTCACATGCCCCTGGCTCTTGGAATTAATCTCTCAACACCAAAAAAAAAAAAAAAAAAAAAAAAGCTTGCCTTTAAGCACTGGTCAAAATTTGGGGCGTAGCATTTCAAAAGCCTTGGGAATGCAGCAAAATCCAAATCCTAAGATTTTCACAGGGTTCAGAAATATGTCAGATCACATCTTATTTGAATTAACTGCAGGACTTTACCATGAGCACAGACATTCGATAGCTCAGAAACACCTATGGACAAAATGAAGACCTGCAGCAGTTCTCTCCTGCACCCTTCTAGCACTTCTGCATTCAGTGGTCTCTCACACATCATTTTCCAGCAAACAGCTGCCTTTTAAGAGACACAACATCCAAACATTCAAGAAACAAGATACCTGTCCTAGAAGTGCAAATGATTTTATGGCTACTAACACAGAACTGTCAAGGTTATAATATTCCCCTGGTATCAACTAAAAAGAGACTTATCAAAATAGAAGTGAGTGTCAGGAAGGACTTGCACTGAGAGAAATATACTGGGTGACCTAATTATGACTTATCCAGTATTTTTTCTAAGCCTGTTTGTGTCCTTCTTTATGTACATCTGTGCATAGCTGTTCAGAATACCAGGCATCTTTTCCTACACAGACTGCTGTATTGCTATATATATTTTACATCTATCTGTATATGCAATTCAAAACATAAATAGTACACATATTAGTTTCATGCATACATGATTCTACATCCAGGCACATTCCTACACTTACACGTACATATTTCAAAGGTTTAAAACACATTAACAATGACATAAAGAAGACTGTAATAATCATGTGAAGTACAGGAGATAACTGAAGGCATGTCTGTATGCAAAATGTAACTCTCATTTCCTCATGGTAAAATGAATGGTAAGCTGTCTTCTAACTGGACTGTGCAATATACCTATTAGGTACCTATTATCAACTGCATGTTTTGGTTTACATAAAAACAGTGTTCTTAGATGACTGAGAATGCATATTCAGGTGGAATGTATGCATTAGAGAACACGTCCAGTTACAGAAAATGTACACCAAATGTACACTGGCAAACCTCCCTGAAGCAAAGAAAGCTTATTCTGCTCGGAGCACATATCCACCTGTCTTTGCACGTATCCAGACGTTGCAATGACCTCCAGAGCATTTAGTCTGTAGTCAAACTAACATAAGTTAGGAAAGATTTTAGGTCATATTACCTGTTAACACCCTCTCTTGCCTCCGTCCACCCCATTCCCTCAAAAATAAACCAAAGAAACTCATCGTCCTTACCTGCTCGGCTGCTTCGGGATCTATTTGGCTCTGAAACAGCGGCACAGCAAACTGGATCTTTTTGGGGCTGTTGGGCTCCATGGCAGTGCTGACGTGAGGTGGGTGAGAGCAGAGCTTGGAGTGCCTGAGAGCAGAGCCTGGTTTGCGGCTCCCTCGGCACCCTCCCGAGAGCCGCGCCGCGTGCTCCTCAGTAACAGCTGTAATTCCTGACTTAGCAAGTGGATCTGTGTGAGCCGAGCAGTGCCCTTATTCCACATCCACAGAGATGCCGCTGGCTTGGCTATTTTTTCTCCTCTCTCTTCTTCAGTCTTTCAGATCCTCTCAGCACAAAGCTGAAAGGAACAATAAGCTAATTGTGTACCAGTTCACTTCTGCATATGCCAAGCATTCACTCAGAAGCTAATTGAAAATGCAATACTAGCATTGCATGGCCTGGAGCCCTGGGATTTGAAAGAGAGGATCTCTCCACCGTACATTACTAACTGGCTGCTCAGAAGTGCAATGAAAGCTCCCTCTGAGTATTGCTGATGGGCTCTTAATTATTGATGAACACAAATCAGGAAGTTTTCAGTTTTTGGGGGGTGGAGGTAGCAGGAGGGGTGGATGCAATAATTCCATCTCTGTTACATGGTGCCAGAACCACTCTCCCCTTCTCACATATCACAAAATAGCCCTTGCTCTTCCAAATCCTTTTCTAAACCTTTTCCAGGAAGACTTTTGATGATGACACTACATAGATATCCACACTCTCACGAAGCATATCTGGTGTACAAACTGCAGTTTGCATCTTAGGCTAGCTCAGATTTAGGCTCTGATCTCTTCTGGTAGGATCCACTTCATGTATCTTCAGATACTGAAAAGTTCCATTTTTAAGCCAGCAATCTGGGCTCTCTCCTGCTTGACGTATCGGAACACATTTTACTCTGTTCTAGTTAAGAGGAACACAGAATCTACTGGAGATGACATTTTCCCTCTATCAACCTCAGGAAAGGTAAAGTCGACTCAGGATAAAATTCAGAGGTCTAAATCCCACTTTGGAGTAAAATCTGTGCTTTCTTTTAAGACAATGAAAATAACATGATTAATCATATGAATAATACTCTGTTGAGCATACTTGATTTTCACTTTTTATTTCATCTTAATTAAAATTCTCTCTTAGAGTCTCTCAAAAGTGAGCTCTTAGAGCTCACAACCACTACAAGACAGTAAGGACAGCTGATCTCCTGCAGCAAAATTGTGCTTCGTGCCAAAACAGAAAACAGAAAATGCTGTAGACAGGTCAAAGGACTATGTTGCAAGCATAGCTCTAAGCCCACAGCCAAAGAGCTTCGGGTCAATCTCCTGATATCCATTACCAGCAGTTGGAAAAAGATAGAAAATGCGGTGCAGAAGGAAAGTCCAATTGGTACGGCACATCACAGGATGTGCTTCACCTGGGACATGACTGCCTGCAGAGAGCAAGTGAATTTTTGTTAGGTTTCTGGGAGACCTGTGAACTCTCTCAATAGATCTCCAACCAGCCGCAATGAAGAACAAACAGGTGAGTCACACAGAGAAGAAAAACAACCTGAGCCTGCCCCTGACAGGCTGCAGTAAGCAAACAGAGAAGCAGCAGAATTCAGAGCTGAGGCTGAACATCACCAAAACTAAACAGAATTTGAAAATGCACTTTTGGTTTTGGCCACTGAAAGTGTTAAGGATTTCCACAGTTCATCACAGGTTTATTCTAGAATTGCTGAGTATTTCCCCATCTGTGCCAGTGTGGGAGGTGGGGGAAGGAGCTGGGATCCTGTGCATGAACAATGTGCAAGCTGTATGCAACAGAATAAATCAGAGAAATCAAGGCTTTGATTTATGCAAATGAAAACCATTAAGACATTGTTGGAATAGCAAGATATTTCTGAACAGAGGCAAATACACAAGTAAGCCAGTTTATGAAGAACTAAGTCTAACCCAAGAGGTGAGAACGCACTAAAAGGTGACAACCTGACACACTCAAAAATCAAATATAATGCACAGTAAATTTCCCTTTCTCATCCAAATCAGAACTCCTTTGTAACAAAATGCCTTCCAATTGATGGGCAGTAGCTGGAAAATTGCCAGTGATTAACTGACAACTTGCCTGATGCTCTGTAGTGCTTGGCAAAAGCCATTTCTGAGATCTAGGAGCTTACAGCAGATGTTCAGAGGGCAGAACACAATCACAGAGCTCTTACCAAAAATAACAGTCTTTATATGCTGCCGTATTACTTTTCTCACAATATATCCTTGGACGTATTTAATTAAAGTTGAAATCCTAAAGACTTGTCCTTTTTGCAAGACCAAATAAAAGAGAATGTAATGAATTTCCACTGATGCTGTCTTCCCAGATTTTGTCCCCAGGCTACAACCATTTCATTTGCCCACATACCCCTACTCAGAGCAGTCTGCCTGAATGAATACAGCTGTACAGCTGGAACTGAAGTGGAGAAGACAGTCTTTCTTTACAGAGTTCTGTAGCAGGTAACATCCACGAGTTATTTGTTGGGTAGAACATATTCATCTGATAGGATGGAAAGTATTTGGTGATTAGAGGCTAGACTGAACAGCGCAGGGAGTGCGCCACTTTTTTTTTTTTTTGCTGACACTTTTGCCATTAGACTTCTTGTGATAGTTTATGTGCATTAACAGAATTGTAGAACCACAGAACAGTCTTGGTTGGAGGGGATTTCCGCATATACCTGTTCCCAGCTGGTACTTGAGGAAGGACCTGAGATCAGGTTATCCTGGGCTCTCTCGGCTAATTTTGCAATATTTATAATGTTATGGCAAAACGTTCAGTTCTGTTTACCAGAACAACAACAAAAAAAAAGATGCACAAAACAGTAACACTCAGTATTTCATAAGATTAAGCCTTCTTAAGCCTTCACTGCTCCTACACAGACCAATCACAATTTGTTCCATAGACTGCCAAGATAAACAATAAGTGACAGAAGGCAAATGCAGCAGTTCTGCAGCTAAGAGCTGATGGTGGAGGAAGAGAAACACAGGCAGCTTTCACCAAGGAAAAGAGTTGGGGAAGTTTTTCAGGATGGTCTAATTGTCTGAGTCCCTCACGAGCAGACATGCCACTAATTTCAACGACAGCTTCAAACCCAGGTCATTCTTTGCCTTAAATACACCTACTGTAGATGTCTCTGAAACTCGGTGTATTAAATAACGCTACAATGACAGTGCAATTGCACTATTACATCACAAAGACAATTTCTTATGTTAATGATAAAATCAGATTTAAAAAAAACACCATTCAGACTGTGAAAAGAATGTTGTAATGTTAAATGACTGAAAGGCTGACAGAGGTGTATTCCAGCTCTTGACTGCAGGATGCTCCTGTGTAAAGAAATCACATCCCAAAGCTGTTGCTAGCACTAGTGTGTAAGAAACAAGCTCAATAGCTGTATGAAGAAACAAACCAACAAACATACTCCTTGGCAGGCTCAGGGGAGAGCCAGACAGCAAGGGCAGGACAGGACAGAGGGACGGGGCCTTAAAAGAGTGCCAGGTTTGGCAGGGAGAGGCCTATGGTACACATGGAGGTGCCAGCCTCAGCCGCTCTTTTCACTGCACTGCTTGGGAGCTGGCTGTGCAGACATCCTCACTACACAAATAAAAGTATTTTCAGAATAGTAGAAGAGGCATATTTTAGAGAGCAGTCAGATACACCATTTCAGGATTACCGTGTCAGCTCACTCTTACACCTAATTACAGCATGGTCTCCAGGCAAAATGTGCTTGCATTTTCTATAGACTGCATCACAGTCTGGGGAAAAGCTGAAATGCATTTAAGTGCTGCCAAATCCTTTTAGCTCATCTTCTGTTTTTAGTGCACTCTCCACAATGTTTTTAATTCCTTCATGATTCAGCTAAAACTATCATGGAAAATAAAAAATAACTGCCCATAATCTTTCCTTTCTGTATCATTCACCAGGTCCTGTTATGAATCACTACGTTTTAACATACCCTGCTGTCATGACAAGCTATCAAAGCACTCACAGCTCCTGTCTATTTTCCCTACTGTGTAAGGAAAGACCTTCACAGCCAAGGGCTCAGGCTGCTGGGAGGGAAACTTGGTGGGCTCTGTCCCACACACTATACAATTTTGGCTGTGTCGGCAATCTGCCTCAGCTTCTCTGCTGTGATCAAGGACTACCACAGCACTGGCCTGGAGCGGAGCAAGACCTGGAGCTGCCTCTGAAGTCAACCCGCTAAAACCAGACGCAAGTCTTCCAATAATAAACACTAGCATACTGAAAAGGGCTCTGAAATTTCCCTTTCAAACATTTAAATGCAGGTGTTGCTGCCAGAATTGCTCCCACTCAACAACTGGAAACTGTTTGATATTCATATGCAGAAAATGCAAATGTATGAGATCACATCTGCCTTGTGAGCAGCAAGTGATGCTGCAGGCAGGTCAGGATGAAGAACAAAAAGAGCTATTGGCCTACTAACAGTTTAATGCAGATTTCCCATTGCCATTACTCATCCACCAAACACCAGGCTTTGGTCAACACTAATGGCATACATGAGTTCACGTAAGTAAAAAACACAGTTAATTTTGTTCATATTTTCTCTCTACTTGAGCTAATCACTCCTTAGCCGTGTGACTGTAATTCAATATCAGTTTAAAGCTACCTTGAGGAGGTAAAAACTGATGCCTTCCACTAGGGCTCACTACTCTCCCAACTATCAAGTAATGTACAAACATTTACTGGTAAGTACTGCTGTTCATTGAATCAGCACATCCCAAGCACAGGAAACAGGCTGCATTAATGGTACGGACATAACCTGTTTAGAAAGTCTGAAGATCTATATCGAATACAGACTGTAGTTCAATAGTGCAGAGACTAACATTCTGGTAATGGGTTTACAGAGGAATTTCAGGAGGAAGTCATGTCAGAGTTCACTTCCTTATCAAGGAGAAAGTAAACTTAACATTTTTCAATAAACAGAACTACTGCGGACAGCTTGCATAGATGTTACAACAAAACTACATTAGCTGCTTTCCATACTAAGTCTGATGCAAAAATTTACTAACATTGAACTAAACAACTGAGATATAAAACCGAGTTTCTACCATAATATTTTTAAACAAAAGTTAAAATATAGATGACAGGGAAGCTGAACAGGAAACCAGCTCTTACAGCTTCAGAGCCCGGGTTAGAAAACTCAGTGTACAAACACAGGCTGCTGTAATGGCAACAGAAAGTCATCAGCTGAGCTATAAAATCTCACTGAGTATGACAAATTCACGACATATTTTTAAAATTCTGATTTTTGAGTTTGATATACTTAATATTTTGGTTATTTCTCACCTTCTTACAAGGGGAAACGGCTGGAAACTGCAGCATAGGAAGTTCCGCACAAATGTGCTCAAGAACTTCTTTACAGTGAGGGTGACGGAGCACTGGAACAGGCTGCCCAGGGAGGTGGTGGAGTCTCCTTCTCTGGAGATGTTCAAGACCTGCCTGGATGCCTACCTGTGTGACCTGCTGTAGGGAACCTGCTTTGGCAGGGGGTTGGACTCGATGATCTCTGGAGGTCCCTTCCAACCCCTACAGTTCTGTGATTCTGTGATTCTCCACCTCAGAGGACATGTTAGATGTAGAGAAGTCACAGTGACCCTTGGAGGTGATGTCTGCAGCACCCACATGGCAGCACCTGCATCACCCAGGGATGTCCAGCTGGGACAAATCCCAGGAGCTGGGGAACCATCACATGTGATGCAGGAGGAACAGAGCAACTCCATGAATAGGGACAAGCTAGGAATCAAAGATGAATGTGAATGATGCCTTTTCCAATGGGGTGCAGCCCCACAGGGCCTGAAATAGCAGCAGAGCCAGAAGGCATCGAGTGGAATTATTAAGGGCTTGGCTCACATAACAACCATTTATCCATTCAAGTTGAGCTTAAACTGTGGAGCTCATCACCACAGGATGCTGCAGACACCAAAACTACACATGCACCAGAAAAAGCAATTAGTGGAAAAGAAATCCATCAAGGATACCACCGCTGGCCAGGAAATCCAGAGCCACTGACTGCTAATAGCAGGAAGGGCAGAAACACTCCCCACACCTCCTCAGGCTCAGTTCTTCCCAAACTTTTGATGTTGGTCACTGTGGGAGTGAAGACATGAACAGGCCAGACTTTCATTTGCTACGGTTGCTCCTATTTTGTAAACTGTGATTGGACTCCAAACTTCTCATGAGCCTGTGCTGCTAACATTTCTTTCCATTGCTTATGTCAGTGTGAAAACATGCCTACGTATAAAATTTCCTGCAACACCTCCAATAATAACAATACTTAATTAAGTACATCTTTAAAAAATACTTCTAAAATTAATTGCAGCCTAAGCTTCATTTGATCTGTGAACAGGACATTAACATGGAACATCATCCTTCAACACAACTTCTCTTGCCTTAATAATTTTAAAAGAAGATCTAAAACTAAAGCCGAACACAGAAAAAGTGAAATTTCTGTAGTTGCTTTCTTTAAAAGTTGACTCCAGAACTCCCTAATGAGTTGTAGCAAATAATTAATTAAAGATAGAGATAGAGAAAAAAGAGATTCTATGCAATTATATAAATACTTCCAAATATTTACAAAAAACTATACTGTGCAAGTCGGTATCTGTAGCACAGTGGGCTGAATGGCCACTCACCTGCTCAGACCATTCTTGCTTTCTGCCATGATGTCTTCTCATTGCTATAATTTAATCACTTAACCATTGTCCAGGCTTTCCTGTTTTACACTGCTTTAAAAAAAGAGAGAGAAGGGATGTTTCTGTATACAGTAATCTCAAGTCTGTACCTAGAACTGAAAGATACACAACTTATTTGGAAGTAGCAATCTATTTTTTTTTTTGAAGAAAGAAAATAACGTATTGATCTCATCGTTACAATTTCTCTTCTGACAATTCCGACCACTTTTATTCTATAGCATGAATATAAAGAATTACTATCATATCTACACTCACATTGAAATATCAAAGTAAACAAGCACAGTGCAAAAATGATCTGTTTCTTGTTTTCCTGAAAATCAAATGACATTATTTTGACACTGTCATGTTAATTCAGAAAAAAGTGTTGTAATGGACCAAAGCCAGCAGTTATTTCACATCATCATCCACTTTTTATCAGTTCGAGTTTTGTTCTCTATTGAAGAAGCTCCACCAAAGGGAAACTTACCCAAAGTTTAGGTACAATGTTTGGCACTGCAAGCTGTGTCTTGAATTACTCATTTCTGACTGGGGCTCCTGTTTCTTCTCTCTCATCGGTATCTTCCATTGGCCAATTTCATTGAAATTGATTCATCCATGAAAGAGATGAACCAAAATGTTCTAACACATGCACAATAAATTACAGAAAAACACTGACACAGATTATAGGCAAAATAAATATTTTATTGGTTTAATATACATGTTTTTGTTGTGTTGTTTTTTTTTTTTTTTTTGTTGTTGCTGTTGTTTTTTGTTGTTGTTGTTGTTGTTTGTTTTTTAAAGAAATCAGCCCTTGGGTGTTTTCCTAACACAATTAAAAATCAAACTTTATCATATATAATATTGTTACATTTGAAACTATTATTGATTAAAGACCTTGACACAGTATAAAGAGTTAGTTGCTGGAAGTGGCAAAGGAATGAAGACATTCCTAGCACAGCACAATAGGATATTACATATCCACTAAATGTCCATCTGACCACATAAAACCTCCAACAACTTCCAATCTTTTCCACTGGAACAAACACATGTTCACTAGGCTAACTGAAAATAGAATCTTAGAGGGACAGGGAAGGAAACAAATCTTTTTCCATTTTCCCCAAAATACAAGCAAGGTCACTCATCCATTACAAGTTGCACATCCTAATTGCTTTCAGAATATCAGTATTTTTTATTGCATTTTGTTAATACAAAGCAGAAGAGAACTTCTTGGATTGACTGAGAGCAATCAACACAAAGACAAAAAAGCGATGCTTAAAATAAGGCACCTTTCTACAAGATGGGCAAACAGTAAGGAAGCAAATAAAATTAGTTTAAAAAAAAAAAAAAAAAAGTTGTCTTTTACATAAAGATAAGGCTTTCAGTGTCAGAACTTTAAGTAGTTTTAAGTAACCTCATGTCGTTCAACCACTCTGCTAATAGTAACCGCTCCAAGAATTAACAGCAATTTTTACAACAGGAAATTTTCCTTCTTTTGAAGTGGCACTAAGTAACAGCAGTGGAAACAATTATTGGTTGTTTCAAGCTCTCAAAGTGTATCAGTTATTGCACAATAAATACCTCATAGAGGTCAGTGTTTGGTTTTTTTTTTTATTGTTGGTGGTGGTTTTCTGTGATTTTTTTTTAAGATAAGCTGAATGTGAGCATGTTATTTATAAATTGGTTAAGCCTGAAAATTTTCAAGTTTCGTGATACATTGCTATAAGAAATTAGCAACATAAAAAATTTACAACAGGGAAATACAAATAAATACACAACCTCTCAGAGAGCCACAGTTTCATTGATGCTTTATGGAAAGTAATAAATGAGTTAAAGTGTCTAAGTCTTTATATGTGAACTCAAGGAAAGGCACACAGGCACACATCACAGAACCCAGCGTTGAACACAGTAGCCTATCTCAGCAGCTTTAACATCTCCTGAAGCAAAACCAACTTGACACTTCACCAGTGTATGCTGCCCAAAGCAGAATTCCACAGCCAACCTTACAGAAAAGAAAAGCAAGATAAATATCTAAATTAGATCAATATCTAAATTAGATTTTTGCTTGCTATGCTTGAGTATGCATTTTGATCATGTCTGTGGCAGGCAGGCAAATAGCAAATCTTCTCACATGATGTATTCACAAGTGAATCATAAGTAATGGCTTGGTTTGGAAGGGACCTCAAGGATCACCAAATTTCCAACCCACTGCCAGAGGCAGGGCCCCCAACTGGCAGGATCTGGCACTAGACCAGGCTGCCCAGGGCTCCATCCAACCTAGTCTTGAACACCTCCAGGGATGGAGCATCCACCACCTCTCTGGGCAGCTTGTGCCAGCACCTCACCATTCTCTCTATATAGAACTTCCCCCAGCATCTAATCTAACCCTTTCCTCCTTGAGCTCAAAGTCATCACGGAGGACACAAAAAACAACGACAACAAAAATACTAGACCACTACATGAATGCTGATAGTAGATCAAACTACAAACCAAATTTTCTAAAGCTGTCCAGGATTATCAATATCCCTGTTATTTAATAAACTTCAGCACTGAGCACATCTATTTGAGAGGGAAAATAGAAACAAAGCAAGACTTAAGTTCACAGTGATATTTCACAAGGTAAGAAAAAAGGTATTCAATGAATTACTGAATGGTTCTAGCAAATTCACAGATTACCTGTAGTACCCATCTCACAGCTGGGTATCTTGCTTTGCAGTTGTGGATCTGCTTTGCGGCGATACAGCTGCTAACAATCCACTTACTATTTCTCGTCTGATTTCACCAACAATAGATTCCTTGATCTGAAAGGGATAGAGGAATTTTTCAGGTCAGTAAGCTACGCAACTGACAGATAAAACAAACTGATACTGCAGACATGCTTGACGTTATCAACATAT